TCCTCATCTACAGGACAACCCCACCACTTGTCAGGTGATACCAGAGACACCTTAATACTGAGGGGAGCGATGGATCTTGAGCTACAGCATCAGTGACCACCACCTCTTCAGGTCCTTCTACCTCACCTTTAAAAACTCTTCAGCAGCCCAAGAACCAGGCACTTCCTACCCCCTTTTCCCCAGTCTCCTCCATGGCACGTTCTGCTGGGTGGGACAAACTGCAGCTCCACGGCAGGATACTCCACCAGACAGCACCCAAGGCCTCCTCAGCACAGGGCAATGTTTATAAGTGGCTCTGGCCCAGCCTCCCGCAGGGACAACTGCTTCCTCCCACAGCAAGGGGCTGTGTCCAGAGCGCACACCAACAGCCCCATTAGCAGGCCCTCACCATGCTGAGCCCTCAGGGTGAAACCTCTGGCTTACCTTGGCTGCCCAAGCCTCTCCCAGAGAGCCACCTCTCCACACCCCTTTCCTGCCAGCACCTGCAGACTCAGACACACACACCGGGTTTCCTCAGAGGCAGCCGGGACGGGCCAGCCCAGCGCCCCTGACAGAGGGACCGAGGGCGGGACAGCGAGTGCAGCCTCCCATCGCCTTCTGAACACCCCGGGAGATGTGCCTGCTTGCTTTAGTGTCCTTCCTGAGGTAAAACTTGGGGTGGGAATGCTCGTTTTGCTGTTACCCTGTTGGTATCTTGGCACAGGTAGCCAGGGTGTGTGCCTGGACTGGAAAAGATCATGGGGCGACAGCGAAATGGCTGCGACTCCAGTGCCTCCCCTGAGCCTGAGAGTTCACAGTGCCCAACTGGATCCTACCCTTGCTGTGGTGGACAGGAAGGTGGGCATGTCTGAAAAGGTAAAAAAACCCCAAACCCAGCCAAAACCAAAATCCCACACACTAAAAAATAAAAAAGTACTTATTCTGATGCTTCTTGACAACACAGGGATGGTGTTACTTATTTGTCAGACTCAGATATACAATCCTACAGTAAAATTTCAATGGCTTGGATCTTGACTTGAAAAAAGAAATGCAATTTGCTTTTTCTGTTCATGCTGGTGCCAGAAAATGACTTCTCATGAACTCCTGAAGTGCTAGTTTGGGAAATTTCAAGTTGTTACCAGTCATTGTCACTGCAACAGCATCATGCAGGGGTGCTGAGCTGCCGTCATCAAAACCTTCCCTCACATTTGGCCACCAAGATGCCTCCCCATCATACAATCAGTAAGTACTGATAGAAAGGTCTTACTAATATTTTTAACTTCAGGATACCTACAAGTTTTCCTTCACAACACGTCAGGTATGTTTTCCTTGGGACAAACTCTTCGCCAATAGTACTTTTTAGATGGATGGAAATCCAAAGCTCTTTACCAAGTCAATCTATGTAATTTATTTAATGCAGTACAGAAAACTTTCTGCTTACTATAATCCATAAACAAAATATGGTATGTCATCAACAATACACTAAGATAAAATACGACAGTTTTACAGAATGAATGAAATATTGGGGGTTTTATACACTTGGATGCAGTAACAGCATCTATAAAGGGTACTGTTGCAATCTCAATAGCACTGGAACATGATCAATTACTTCACAGCTTTTTTGTTAAACAAGGTTTTTTAGTGATTGTAATGCCACCATACTCCTTATCAAGTTAGCAAAGTGTTAATTTTTCCAAATACCTTGTCATTGCAACACTTGTCCTTTTTCCTTACTTGTATAACTACTTCCATTTAGAAAACCAAAATGCATTTAAACATAAAGCTGAAGTATACTAAGATTATGATAGAAACTCTCACTGTATACTAAGACTTAAAAATAGCAAAGATCCCCTTAATAAAAGAGCCACTTCAGTCGGTTTGCTTTCACTGTTTAAAAATAGAAAATAAAAAAGAAGCATGACAACCATGCAGTATTTTAAAAACTGCTTTTTTACCCCCTTATCAGTGTCCTCCGGGCACAACAGCAGTGGACAACTAGCACAGATGAACACATGAATATACAAATTTGGTTTAAAGTTCACTTTTATTTAACTGTCTAAAAAGCTTAAACATTCCTTTTTAGGTGGGCTTAACTTCAAGTAGTAAATAGGAACAAAATAATGGTCTTTCTGGTTAAACAAAATTGATTTGACTATAGTAAGCCAGGCTGTCTGAACTGCAGCTCTTTCAACATAAAAAGGATGAGGTGAATGAAATAATTGATCATTGTCAACTTGGTAATGGAAAAAGGAATATTTTTAATTCTGGAAGAAATACCAGAATTTTAGCATCAACAGTAGGATGGGCTCAAGATATACCAACCAGATGCAAGATTTCTAAAAACTCCTCTTTCTAGAGACAAAGAATTCACGTCATTGGTTTTAAATATGCAAGATACTGTAAGCACAGTGGGTAGATTGATACAGAATGGCCTGGCTCAGCAGTGCCAGTTGGATCATGCACACTCATAGCACCTGAAATACTAGATTAACTGAAAACCAGTGAAAAAAAAAATAAAATATATTTTTCTACATATCAACCAGCTAAACAGCTTCCAAAGATCTTGAAAGACTTACTTTGACTTTGTTTAAGCAAAAACTTAGTTGTCCTTGCTAACATTTACAAGTGGATAACAGAACAAAAACAAGAGAAAATCAAGAGTTTGTGTTTCTGTTACCTCAACTGAACAATATTTAAATCCCTTTAAAATTGTGTAGTCTGTTCCGTTATTATTATTATTTTTTAATTTTAAAAAACCTCACTTATTTCACATGCAAGATTCAATTTCTGTTGCTGGTGACAATACACTACTAATGCAGTTGTATTGCCAACTCTAGGGTAGGCTGTGCTGTGGGCTGTCAAACAGTTATCAATACTACACAGCAGTTTGTTTCCTGAAGTGAGGAATAAGAAATCACAGCTGAAACTATATGGGAAATCAAACTCCAGCAGTTTTAGGTGCTCAGTGTTCTCAATTCCCAGTCAACATCTTATAGGATCAGGCTCTCATGTAGGTAAACTGCAATTACCTGAGTTACAGCATTGTTTGAGCTAACAGATCTATTCTTGCAAAACCTGATAGTCACAAAAAATGACAACTTCTAATCTGAGAAGTGACATCTACCACAGATAGTTTCCTTAGCAGCATGCTGTTCAGAGCAAATAATAAACCACCTCCTGACACACCTGATTTTTGTCTAGTAGCCTTACACCAAGGAACAATTTAATCTGTCCCTGCTGAGTTCTTGAGAGCTGACAAGAATAAAAGCTGAGGTATCATGGCTGGAGACCATATTAATTTTTTATTTAATGAAAAATACATTAACAAGTGTTCTTTAAACATACAATAAGTTAAGAAACTACAACAAGTTCTAAGTAACAATGCAAGATCTTGAGAAAGGAGTGGGGGGAGAATGAGAGTGACCGTTTTTTGGTCTTTAAGTATTGAAACCACCAATAATACATCACTGGATAATCTATAACTCCCTCTGGTATTGCATGGTCTTATTGCTATGTTGGACTTCCCAAGAGTGGAAATTCAGTTAAACTATATTTAAGAGTTTCTAAAATTTGTTGGCTTGCTATACAAAGTTTATTCATGTTTGCATGTTTGATTAGTCTAACTCCAGCCTGTCTGACACCTTTCAGCAGGGATGCTCCTTGATGCTACCTTGTAACGTTTAAATTTACATGTTTCACTCCTTCTTCCACATTTGGCTCTAAAATTAAATGTGTCATTTAGTAAAAGAAAGTCAACAATGGCAGTTCTGTGATGTCTATTATCCATTTCCATATTCGCAGTGAAATTAAGTTACCAGATTGAGACCTGAGAATTCACTACTTACTCAGACAGCTGCCTTTATCCTGAATTGGTGATTGCCTAAAAATGAGCCATCTATTCCTTACAATTACAACTGAAAGGACCTTTGTGCAGGCTCTGAGGTCTGTGGAGAGACCTTATATCAAAACAGCACCACATCCCTGCAAACTGGAGAGAACTTCTCTGAGACGGGTGGATTAAAGCATGGGTTATGAATGACAGGGAATGAAAATCCCTCTGTTAAAGAAATGGTATTTTAGATACTTTCACTTTCTTGAGCTTCAATTTACAAGTAAAGATATTATGCTCTCTAAAGGCCAAGATGAATATTCATACTGCTTATTTTCTTGAATACTAGAAATTAATTACTGTGGAATGGGTTTCAACTGAGGCAGTTGTTACCTCTTGCTGAAGCAGTCTTTTCTGAAAAGGGTTCATGAAAAAAGAAGAAGAAAATAGAAATATGGGTTGAAAAACTGGAGGCTTTATAATTGAAACATCATTTAGTGTGATAAGATATGATTCTAGACCAGGGAGATTCTGTGAGGTGTACTGGGAGAGGTGGAAACTAGAGAAGTGCTGGTATCTTTTATTATTCCTACAATAAATGGTGTCAATGTCTTTATTAAAATTCTAAAAAAAATGTTTTAAGTCTTCCTGTTGCTTCCACATATACAATGGAAAACTCATCAGGAAAGACAGTACTTTTTCTCTAATGAGTTTGCAAAGCAGTACAGGAAGTCTCACCCTGCTAAACTACACAACCACAGAATCATTCAGGATGACCTTTAAAATAATTCAGTCCAACCATTAACCTAACTCGACCAAGTCCAGTACTGAACACTTCTCCTCAGCACCACATCTTTTAAACACCTCCAGGGATGGTGATTCAATCAGCACCCTGGGCAGCCTATTGCAGTGATTAATAACACTTCCAACAAAGAAGTTCCTTCTCTTATCCAAACCTCCCCTGACACAACTCAAGACCATTTTCTCTTGTGCTGTTGTTGCTCATTACTTGAGAGAAGAGACCACCACCACCCTCACTGCAACCTCCTTTCAGGTAGTTGTAGAGAGTGAGGTCTCCCCAGAACCTCCTTTTCTCCAGGCTGAACACCCCCAGTTCCCTCAGATGCTCCTGGTATGACTTGTTCTCCAGACCCTTCACCGGATTTGTTGCCCTTTTCTGGACACACTGCAGCATCTCAATGTCCTTCTTTTAGTGAGGGGCACAAAACTGAACTGGTGCAGCCTCACCAAGGCCAAATACAGGGAGACAGTCACTTCCCTAGTCCTGCTAGCCACACTATTGCTGATACAAGCCAGGATGCTGGTGGCCTTCTTGGCCACACTGCTGGCTGATACTAATCCTGCTGTCAATAGACACCACCAGGTCCTTTTCCTCTGGGCAGATTTCCAGCCACTCCTCCCCAAGTCTGTAGCTTTGCTTGGGGTTGTTGTAACCCAAGTGCAGGACCTGGGGCAAATCAACGCTCCCTCCTAACCTAGTGTCAACGACTTGAATAAGCTCCAGAATCCACATTGTGATATAGGTTGGAGTGAAGAAGTCTTACAAAGTCCACAAGGATATGGGATGGCTCAGTGAATGATTACAAAGTACTACATTATGGGTCTGCTGTATCTAACCAGAGGAAGAATGCAGGACATACAGGAGTTACTCTCTGGCAGGTACCAGCCTGAACGAGCTAACAGATCTATTCTTGCAAAACCTGATAGTCACAAAAAATGACAACTTCTAATCTGAGAAGTGACATCTACCACAGATAGTTTCCTTAGCAGCATGCTGTTCAGAGCAAATAATAAACCACCTCCTGACACACCTGATTTTTGTCTAGTAGCCTTACACCAAGGAACAATTTAATCTGTCCCTGCTGAGTTCTTGAGAGCTGACAAGAATAAAAGCTGAGGTATCATGGCTGGAGACCATATTAATTTTTTATTTAATGAAAAATACATTAACAAGTGTTCTTTAAACATACAATAAGTTAAGAAACTACAACAAGTTCTAAGTAACAATGCAAGATCTTGAGAAAGGAGTGGGGGGAGAATGAGAGTGACCGTTTTTTGGTCTTTAAGTATTGAAACCACCAATAATACATCACTGGATAATCTATAACTCCCTCTGGTATTGCATGGTCTTATTGCTATGTTGGACTTCCCAAGAGTGGAAATTCAGTTAAACTATATTTAAGAGTTTCTAAAATTTGTTGGCTTGCTATACAAAGTTTATTCATGTTTGCATGTTTGATTAGTCTAACTCCAGCCTGTCTGACACCTTTCAGCAGGGATGCTCCTTGATGCTACCTTGTAACGTTTAAATTTACATGTTTCACTCCTTCTTCCACATTTGGCTCTAAAATTAAATGTGTCATTTAGTAAAAGAAAGTCAACAATGGCAGTTCTGTGATGTCTATTATCCATTTCCATATTCGCAGTGAAATTAAGTTACCAGATTGAGACCTGAGAATTCACTACTTACTCAGACAGCTGCCTTTATCCTGAATTGGTGATTGCCTAAAAATGAGCCATCTATTCCTTACAATTACAACTGAAAGGACCTTTGTGCAGGCTCTGAGGTCTGTGGAGAGACCTTATATCAAAACAGCACCACATCCCTGCAAACTGGAGAGAACTTCTCTGAGACGGGTGGATTAAAGCATGGGTTATGAATGACAGGGAATGAAAATCCCTCTGTTAAAGAAATGGTATTTTAGATACTTTCACTTTCTTGAGCTTCAATTTACAAGTAAAGATATTATGCTCTCTAAAGGCCAAGATGAATATTCATACTGCTTATTTTCTTGAATACTAGAAATTAATTACTGTGGAATGGGTTTCAACTGAGGCAGTTGTTACCTCTTGCTGAAGCAGTCTTTTCTGAAAAGGGTTCATGAAAAAAGAAGAAGAAAATAGAAATATGGGTTGAAAAACTGGAGGCTTTATAATTGAAACATCATTTAGTGTGATAAGATATGATTCTAGACCAGGGAGATTCTGTGAGGTGTACTGGGAGAGGTGGAAACTAGAGAAGTGCTGGTATCTTTTATTATTCCTACAATAAATGGTGTCAATGTCTTTATTAAAATTCTAAAAAAAATGTTTTAAGTCTTCCTGTTGCTTCCACATATACAATGGAAAACTCATCAGGAAAGACAGTACTTTTTCTCTAATGAGTTTGCAAAGCAGTACAGGAAGTCTCACCCTGCTAAACTACACAACCACAGAATCATTCAGGATGACCTTTAAAATAATTCAGTCCAACCATTAACCTAACTCTACCAAGTCCAGTACTGAACACTTCTCCTCAGCACCACATCTTTTAAACACCTCCAGGGATGGTGATTCAATCAGCACCCTGGGCAGCCTATTGCAGTGATTAATAACACTTCCAACAAAGAAGTTCCTTCTCTTATCCAAACCTCCCCTGACACAACTCAAGACCATTTTCTCTTGTGCTGTTGTTGCTCATTACTTGAGAGAAGAGACCACCACCACCCTCACTGCAACCTCCTTTCAGGTAGTTGTAGAGAGTGAGGTCTCCCCAGAACCTCCTTTTCTCCAGGCTGAACACCCCCAGTTCCCTCAGATGCTCCTGGTATGACTTGTTCTCCAGACCCTTCACTGGATTTGTTGCCCTTTTCTGGACACACTGCAGCATCTCAATGTCCTTCTTTTAGTGAGGGGCACAAAACTGAACTGGTGCAGCCTCACCAAGGCCAAATACAGGGAGACAGTCACTTCCCTAGTCCTGCTAGCCACACTATTGCTGATACAAGCCAGGATGCTGGTGGCCTTCTTGGCCACACTGCTGGCTGATACTAATCCTGCTGTCAATAGACACCACCAGGTCCTTTTCCTCTGGGCAGATTTCCAGCCACTCCTCCCCAAGTCTGTAGCTTTGCTTGGGGTTGTTGTAACCCAAGTGCAGGACCTGGGGCAAATCAACGCTCCCTCCTAACCTAGTGTCAACGACTTGAATAAGCTCCAGAATCCACATTGTGATATAGGTTGGAGTGAAGAAGTCTTACAAAGTCCACAAGGATATGGGATGGCTCAGTGAATGATTACAAAGTACTACATTATGGGTCTGCTGTATCTAACCAGAGGAAGAATGCAGGACATACAGGAGTTACTCTCTGGCAGGTACCAGCCTGAACAGACAAAGCAAGAATTCATGAGAGCAGCTTAACCAAACTTCACATTTTGTCACTAAGGAAAAAAAACAAACAAACAGGAAATTGTGAAAAAAGAAGTCTCTCTAGCTCTGTTCAAGGTCTAGTTTGGATCTGTTTTCCATGGAATAATTAAATAAAGTTTTAAATTATCTGTAAATGTCAGTTCAGCTCCTCCTTTGTGAGATTCTCTGAATGTCACTATCACTCAGCATTTCCTACCATCTTTGAGGATTGTTTCTCGCTCTGTGCCATCAATTTTCTGTCGTCCAATTAGGAAACTGGTAGTATCAGCAAAGTAAATGTAATTGGTTTCAGCATGGAAGTCCAGAGCACGAGGGTTGACCAGGTTTTCTATAGGGATCATGTATTCATCAGATACTTTGGTATTCAGGTCCATTCCCCGTATAATTCCTGGGCGTCCCTTCCCATAAAAAAGAAACAATTCATTCTTTGGTCCTGCAAAAATAATAACAATAAAAAATATTACAAACAATTGATGCTGCCTAATCTTCTTTACAGTGCATAATGTCACTGTTTAATTAACTGGCACAATTAGTGGGGAAGTAGGAGTGTTATTCAACACAAAAAAAAAAATTAAACTTTCATATATTCCAAAGGTATCTAAACTCAAGAAATCTAGTTAATTATATTACCTTAATTAAAATAAAAATTACTTCAGTGAGCTGCTTACCTTAAATTATTTTTTTCTATAAGACTTCATACTGGAAACAGTGTTAGATCACAGAATAACTTTGTGTCTACTGTGAAATGGACATAAATAGCTTTGTAGATATTTAATTTTACAATGCATTATGATCTTCCAGGATAATGTAGACCATGACTAAAGTAATTGCTGAATTTAAAACTACCCCAAACTCCAGTAAATACAACCCACTGTTTTTGTCACCTGAAGTTTCTCAGAAACAAACCAGACAAAAGATTACTGCCAATTTCTTTCAAATAGAAAGGGATACAACAAATCAAGACACTGAGATACAAAACATGGATACCAATATATCCCCTTTCTGAGGAGTTTTTTTACTATTTAATCAAGTAGGTTAATTACAAGTTACTGAAGCTTAGTAAGGTTCTTTTCTTTATAGAAAGATACTTATAAATACCCTTAGTGCTACCAACATACCTCTTAAGATTCTCCAAAATATATACTTTTCCTAATGCTTCTCAGGGGTTTTTGTTGTAACTGTTAGTAAAAAGCATATGAGGTTTGACTGAGGTCACACAACTTCATCTACCAGCATCCAAAGTATCTAATTGCATGCCTTTCATCTGAACTAAATCTATGTGCCATTTGATGAACAAACTAGACAATAAAAGGTGTTTATCAAAACCTTCAAGACTATCCTGTTGGCTGCAGGTGACCAACAGATGATGTCCTAATGTTCGGTATAGACACCTAATGTGATACCAAATGTTCAGCACAAGCACACTTACACAAATCAGACTTGCTTTCACAAAGTATGATGAGAAAAACCTTGCTCGACTTATTCTCATGAATGATCTGCTTCTGAGGGACAGGTTGATTGTATGGGTAGAAACTGGATGTGATGAACTATTTAACAGGATTTCTGTACCTATGTGCTGTGAGAAGATATAGCACATATATACATATATATATATATAAAAGACTAAGACTAATGGACTTAAAACTCGTGATGATTTTTAGAATTCCTTTAAACAGCAGCCCAGGTTTGATTTATCACTTCTACCATCTAAGCCGAATGAAATAATTTCAAGGGACTGAAAGGAGTGCATGAACAAAGTGTCAGGGACACATTGCAAGCTTTTTTATCCCCCAACATCCATGTGTTTTCTCTTGTTATTGACAAGCACATTAAAATACAAGAGAACTCCACTCTGAACTGTGAGAGACTGGTGAACCCTGTGGTTTACGTCACGTACTTTTGCAGGACCTGCCGTCACTGCCCAGGATGAAGCCCGTCCTGCAGCGACACGTCCGTGCTTTGTAGTTGCTGCCGAGCAGACAGATGTGGGAACAGCCCCCTGGCATCCCATAGGGGTCCACCTCACACGCGTGGCTTCTGACTGCAGCGAGTGAAAAACAGCAAGCTTGAAATCCATTGAAAGCAGGACAACGATGTGCATCAGCATGCAGAAAGGTTAGGCAGGAGCAAAAAGGGAATTTGTGTCACCATAAATCTTCTGCCAGAAAATTTTTACAGAAGAAGGTGGTTTTTTAACCTGATGCCCAAAGCAGACAACTAATCCAAAGGACCATTTTGTGCCTATCAAGCCATACTCATCATTGTATGTGGTCACCCCTTTCCTGGATAAACATCTGCACAGTGTTTGCCAGGCAGCACTGCCCTGGGACAGCTGGCACTGTTCTCCTTTTTTCCTTTGTTGCTTTGGTTCATATAGTTGGTTCCTTGGCTTTTTGAGAACAGAGTGAAGCCCATGTCATGCAGTTTGTTATTAATTGAACTCCATTAGACAGCACCTTTCTGGACAGATACCTGCGCAGAAGCTCAAGAACAGAACAAGCCTTGTACTGTTTTTCCATGTTTGTACAGTTGGGACATTTATCCACATGAAAAAGCCAAATAAGTCCTTTCCCTTGGTTCCGTATGTTCAAATGCACAGGTCTAAATTAGAAGACTTATATATAAAATTATTTTTTAAAAGCTCTGTAAGGTAAATCTGATGAGAAAAAACAATTTTTCCTCTATCATACATTTACTAAGTTGGTTTACAACAGGTCGACATTATTTAGCTCAAAATTGTTTTTCTCTTCTTCCCCCTTTCCCTCAAGCTTTTTAGTTGCTGAAAGAAAAAAAGCAATCAAATGGTTTAAGGTCGATATTGTTAAAGGCACACAGAAACCCTAGCAAGTTGAGACAGCCTTTACAGCAAATCCTGACAAGCAACAAACATGTTCATTCAAAACCAAAGAAGCATCAGAGTGAACAAAGGGCAAAAGGAACAGAGTAATCACAGGATGTAATAAAAGATTACACTGTGCTCATGTCTCTCCTCTACTCAACCTCTCTGACTCCTTCAGGGGTACAGGAGCAAGGCCTATAGCAAGGAGAGAGTCTTTGCAGCCCCTTCAGATACTGATATCTGCAAATCAATGCCCTCAGCTACAGGGTGAAAATTAGTTCACCCAGTCTACATCAATTTAGAGTGTGTTCCCACCTCAGAAACTTCTCTATAAGCAGTCAGTCTGTCTAATAATATTGATGTTGATCACCAGAACTGATGTGCTAGCTTTTCTGTCCAAGCAGTCATGGCAACGATTTATTGCCATATCAGTCACGTCAAAAAATTCTCATAAAGCATTGCTGTAAACATTTTGGTTCTTGCTGTCCTTGCACAAAGTTCCCAACAATCACACGGCTGTTCTGGATGCAGGAAGTAAGTGATCAAAGCCAGGATTAGAGTAATTCAGGACCATGGAACTCAGAAATTGTTATTTCAGGAAAAATTATGAGATTATAAAAAGTTTTTCATTCTGGACAAAAATGAAGATTTCTTTCACAAAAGGCAAAGATGTTATTTATAAAAAGCAAGGAAAACTGAAGAGCAATTTCCTGTCCCACCACTTGCCATGTTGGCCAGCAGGCAGGCGAGCTGCCCGCCTCTCCAGGCTTTTTTGGCAGCTGAGAAGACAGGGGCTCTCTTGAGGTTTGCAGTCTGTCTGAAAAACAGACCCAGAGAAACCAGGAATCTCTGAGGTCCAAGACCCAAGCATGGGAACATGTAACAATTTGGAAGATGTTAAATTCTGAAAGCGTTGAGTGTGTGGAGCCAGAAAACTTGCAGAGCAGGGCTCTTTGGAGGTTCTCCAAGCTGAATGCTCTGGAAGCAATTGTGTTAGGAGATGAGATGCATAGAAAACTGGCAGTAAACACAGAGAAAACTGGGCAGATGAAGAAGCAGAGTTTTGCCACAATGAAATTTTCACTGCATCTTTTGATATGTTTTTCTAGAGGAATCTTCTTAACTACACATCCACCCAAACATCTGGCTTTACCTTCCAAGAAAGAGGAGTTCTGATCTTACCTGCTGTTTGAGTTCTCTTCTGGTAAACCCGGATCTCTTTAGCTTTGTCAAGTGTACCAAGAGACTGAAGATCAGTGCCATTATATCTGTTTATTCGTAAAATGCTGAGGTTATCTGAATTAACTGTATACAAATAGTTATCAAATACTGACAAACCACAAAGATGCCTAATCTGGAAAAAGAAAAAAAACAAAAACAACACAACAAAAACCCCTATTATTTTAGCAGAATATTTTAGGTATTTCTATGAAGAATAACTTAATGTGAATTGTATTGCTTAACTGTACAAAAGGATTACTGAATATGTCAGTATTTGTAAATAATAAACACAAAGGACACCAAGTGTAGTTCACATTCTTGCAGTCTAGGTTTGTAATTAGAAAACCTTTGCACAAGAAAGGCAGATAATTCAAAATATTTAGCAATCTAAATTCATTTATTCTCTGAATCTCCTAGTTCCTGTCTTAAATTAAATCTCCTGGATATTTCATTATGTGCAACTGTTTACATTAGTATTAACTAACAATAATTAACTAATAACAACTAAGACTCAGATTAAATAGCATTAACTAACAAATCTAGTAAATACAGATATTCACAACACAGTTTATGGGTTGAATGGATGTATTTTTAAATCATGTTATAAACAAAGTAAGAAAAATAGTGCAAGATATACTCACTGGCTAGGGTTCAGATATTCACAGACTGAATATCTTTTTAGTTTAATCAATAAATTATTCACCACAAAGTATTTACTTAGCTATTTTATTAACAAAGTCAGACCTACATCACCTAAAAAATCCAAACCCTGCTGTGTGCACCAAATATTTCAGTCCTTTCTGGAAATTAGCACCCAGTTGGCCAAATCTTGCCATTGTATTATACCCATGGAAAAGATAAAAAGGAAAACAGAAGTAATTGGAAGTGTTTGATTAAGACCCAATAGATATTCAATCCAATTATAGAAAGATGGAAAAGAAAAAAGCCTTGAAATAATGATGCGTATGTACCCAGTTGTTGAATTCTCTTCTGCATTATAATCCATTCATCCCTCTTTCCATTTGCAGTTAAAAACTTTATTATTTAACTCTCAGGATAGCTTTTCTACATTTACACTATTAAAACTATTTTTTAAAAAAATGTAAATTGTGATATTTGTTGGTTTTTTACATCTCATTAAGCTTTTCAGCTCTCATATTCATGAACAGAAATGTTGTTTGCTCCAAAGACTAGTTCTTCAAAAGCCACCCAGGATATCAATAATAAAAGCCCCTATCAACTGGAAAGCATGTACTTATGAAACAAACTTTAATTCCTCCCGTTTCTTGATATGTCTCTCCTTTTGTGATAAGAGTGGCCAAATGAATGGCCAAAAAATACAACACCCTTCACCCATATAGAGACAGGCTCTTCTCCCTTCTTTGCAAGTTTAGAGACCAAAGAATCCCTCTGAACTTGATCAAGAATCTTCTTTTGCAAAATGTATCAGAAAGAAGAGAAAGAACAAACATCTCTCCTATGACAGCAGTACAACTCAGATGGAAGCCTGTAAAAGTGTTGAATTGCTTTTAAAAAGCAAGAGGAGCAGCAGCAGCAAGAGCAGCAGCAGCAAGAGCAGCAGCAGCAAGAGCAGCAGCAGCAAGAGCAGCAGCAGCTCTATAAGTGTGACTTCAAGTGTGACTTCCAGAGTGCATTGTTAATGAGTCACTGCATGGAATTCTGCCTGTAGGTTGCAAAATGAGCTAAAGTGCAAGTAAATCAAAAGAAGCAGATGGATCTTTTAATGTCTTAATGCCTTTGAACTAAAAAGAGAAAATAATCTGAAATTACTTTAACTATTGGCATGAGGTACATTGACTTATTGGTATTGTTACTTTTTACTAATTTATAAATAAATACTTACTTGTCTGCCTTTAATTATTGTATGCCTCTTTCTCCCTTGATAGTCAACAACTTCCACAGTATCCAAATATATGTCAACCCAGTACACATATTTATTGATGAGATCTAGTGCCAGTGCAGTGGGCTGTTCAATTTTAGAGTCTACTATCCATGTCCTGTTCATCCCATCCATGTCACATCTCTCCACCTTGGCAGCATTCCCATAGTCTGTAAAGAAAAGCTTTCTGTTGAAAGAAAATAAGTTGTTGTAAGTTTTGAAGGGTGTGAGCAGAGAGCAGAGCTCCTGGTGGCTCTGTGCAAAGTCCCTTTTTATTCATCATTTCAGGGTATTCATCTATCAATAACACACTTTGATAATCATAATTACCAAGAAAATTCACCACATCTTCTGACAAATCCAAGATTACACAGAATGTTATTTCAAATGGGATGTACACAAGTTCTAAATCTACTGCCTTACACAACAGATTCACCACATAATAATTGCCTTTCAAGGGGATGGCATTCAGTATGTACAGAAACTACATTACAAACTTAAGTATCTCTTTAACCATTACTTATAAAAAGAAATGGCAAGAGTTACAAATAACTGGCAAAAACCACAAACAGGAGAACAAATCCAGTCATCCAGGTTTGTGAAAATGTATCTGCACTGAGTTTGTATTCAGTCCTGGAAGGATGCTGAGGCATTGAAATGTTTCCACAAGTCCAGTGAATCATTCCATCCAAGAAAAAGGGCAAACCAGCAGACTTTAAATTGCTACTAACGCTTCCTAACCCAATACTTGATTAGCATTTGTTGTGTACTAACACACAAATCAATTTTGATTAACCTGACAATATTTTAACAAGATACCTATATGTGGGACTAAGTTACACTTGCAAGCTGAAGACCACCTTGCCATGACTTTAACGTGCTATAAAGAATAATCTGATTCCAGACTGATTGTTACTAAAATTACTTTGAGAATCAGGATTTCATTTTCCAAAATAAGTGTTATTACCGCTAACGGGAATAACATTGGATCAACAGCAGATAAAACTGAGATATCTTTATGTTAAAGAGCAGTAATTTATAGCTTCTCATAGAAATCTAGCATTGTTGTACAATTTAGGCTGGAGTTTATTAAATAGCCAAGTGAAATCCATATCCTTTATTATTACCATCTTCAAATAAATAGGAATATATTTTAAATGCAGTTAAAGTTTTTCCATGTGCAAAACTACACAAGTGAAAAAAAAAATAAAATACTGAAGGCAGGAGAATTATCTATCATATATACACAGCAGCTGTCAAATGTCAAAACGGATTGAATCACAGAATCATAAAACAGGGCTTGAGGAGATTTTGAAAGGTCATATAGTCCATCATCAGGCCATAAGGCAGAATAAACTTTACCTGGAACATTCCTGAGGGACTACTCCATTCCTGACAGGGATTTCAATTAATCAAAATCATTCTGAATTCCTGTCTTGTCCTTCACTGTAATTTTGTATTCCAGCTGTACTCTAAGGACATTTTAAAAACCCACATACTTAACATCCAGGTCCACATAAATCAAAATGTGCATACAACAGATGATGCACAAAGTCAAAGTTATGTCTGCAGAATAAATGTTTAATTTGGAACAAAAACAGCCAAAGAACTGTTTGCATATACATGTGTATTCACTTATCTATCTATATATTTCATCAGCAATTGCAAGGCCAACACCTATTACATCTAAAATAAGTTGCTAAAACCTTTTACGTACTCTAGCCTACAACCTGTACCCCTGGGAATCTGATTTAGGTTCTTTAATTCTTTGTATATCAATATTCAATAATTCAAATAAAGCTCATTTTGCAATCACAGATGCCAATGGGCTGTGCAGTCACCAGGCCCCTCGCAGGTGCGGATATAAACATCCATGCACAAAGATCTGAAACTTGGCTTCAGACTGACTCGACTGCTTAGTGCACAGTATTCTTAGAGAAGATTTAACATGTCTACAGGATACCACAAAACAGACTAACACACCTCAGAAATCCCAATTATTTACCTTATATGACTAAATTCTCCTTTCAGATCAGAAAAGAAAGAAAACATTTATATGTCAATAACAAATAGATAAAGAGTATCTAAGAGGCTTCTCCAGCTTTTGGGGACAGTGGGTCAATTCTTGGTTTTCTAAAGATCTGTGTGTGCTAAGGAAACTAAGCAGGGCTTCATGTGT